TTGCTCTGCATATTATATTATTGAATTTGATGTGGCAATGTGCCACTATATAAGAGAATCCACTCTCATAGTCATAGTGTGACTGCTATGGGTAACCCCAAGCACGTACACATCCATGGTCATTTAACGTAACACTCAGCCGTGTACTGGCCTTAAATTTTATGTAGGTTATTTACACGCGGGAATAACCATCCCTGCTCCGGGGTTGACCCATGGTCAGCTCGGACGCAGGTTCCCTGTGACTGTGTGTGTGTGTGGAGGTGGCAACTGGGACTTGAGGTGTGTACATTTTTGAGATTGTGGTGTGGAACGGATGCGTCGGGTCGGCGGCAGGTGTGAGAGATTTTCCTGTCGGCTCTGTCAACGGATTGTACCTTACATTAATTAAAAAAGCTATAGTTCTCAGACCTGATTGTTTTATTGTGATTTTATTTAAACTGTAAGCTACGTCACCACTTGGCTACATTGATATCAATTTTTTTTATTCCTATTTTAATGTCCCACCCGCTTTTACACGGCAGTTTTATGTCACCAACTATTTCAGAAATACAAAAGAAAAAATGTTACGCACCAAACGCACTTGCAATATTTTTTTAAAAAGAATCTCATTTAGTTCAGTCATCTGGAATTTTATTTCATGAAATTAGTAGCATCATATTTCCTTCATCTTCCCCTGGAAAAACTGATGGTTTGGGTTTTTGCTGAACATATGATAGAATATATTGTCATCTGCAAAAAGTTTCAGCTCGATAGATTGATGGGCAGTGAATCAATTAGCCGTACGAAGATTTTGGCGTAAACACACAAAAGTGAAGAATATATAGGAATTTATTTTTTAAACTGCAACCTTTAAAATACTTTTAAAGAAATTATAAATTTTAATGGCTTTACCAATTATAGTTAACAATTTAGTTTGTCAAAATGCAAAATTTATGAAATAAGCTTTTCGGTAGAAGCGTTGCAAGCTACCATCTTGGGGATCGCTGTATCAATTACTACTTGCTCTGATATTTGTATTTTCTAATTTGCAGCAACGAGTGCTCCATGCACTGAGCATTAAGGCTGAACAAACCGCCGGACTGACAAAATACAAAGATGGCAACTCAGTGGCAGGGCTTTCACTTCCTGTCCCATCAAAAGTCTTGTCAAAGAATTTTCTGAAACAATCCTTAAGTTACCTGTAGACATATTGGTGCCCACTGTACTGATGTGTGTGTGTGTGTTACTGCATGGATGAGTACTTGTGTGTGCATGTCATTGCTGTCATTGCTGCAATAAGTCTTTGTTTCACCCCATTTCTAAATTTTACATGAAATCTGTTTAGTTGTTACAATTACTCATTCCATAAATACACTCTGGACAACGGTGTCAGCCTCTTAACTGAACCACAAACCAGGCACCATATAATTTGCAATGGGCACTTTAGTCCATCGGTACAAAACCGATTTCATTTAAACGATCCTGGTTTTCTTTTGAAGGATTTTTTTGTTTCTTGTGTGTCTGGGGCTCTAGGGTTTTGCTGAGAACACGAAGGTGGGAGATCCAACTGATTAATATACATAGCATTACTGACAGCAATTAAGGACTACTTTAAATCATTTCGAAGGCATAAAATATAATCATTGGTAATTTAAATCATTCTACTTCTTATGCAGACGAAGTGTTCATATATCAAAAGGTGCAAAGTTGTCTAGACTTTGGCCTTAATATATATAGGCTATAGATGTTTTTTAATATTTTTGTTATAAAAGAGATGTTATAAATCACTGCTTAGACTGGCTTGTGTGAAACGTTGACAGAGAGACTGACAGACTGACACATCAGACATCAAGAGTTAAATGCATAGGAAAGTAGATTACTCTGCAGTGTTGTGAAGACAGAGTTACCCTATTGCCAAATGAATCTTTGAGCAGTATTGGCGAAATCAGTTATGATAAATGAAAATCATATATGATTTGAAGTAAACTATAGGATTATCAGTAATAAATGGTTTTTTTTAGATAAAATTGTTAATATGATTATTAATAGTTATATCTTGTTAGATACTGACCAAAAAATATTGTACATATTACTATATACTGAAATATTTTTATAGATGTATATTTCTTTTCATAATTTACCAATTCATGTGCTGTAAATTTTACAATTTATAATAAAATAATCAAATTTTGACAAATAACTGTCTTGTGAGTAACATTTTAAATAATAATTTAGTAGCTAGTTACTACAGCAAGTGTCAGACGGGTTTCAATATGCCTGCTGTCTTGGGTTTTGGTAATTTATTGGTTTCAATATGCCTGCTGTCTTGGGTTTTGGTAATTTAACGGTTTCAATATGCCAGCTGTCTTGGGTTTTGGTAGTTTATCTGTTTCAATATGCCAGCTATCTTAAGATTTGGTAATTTATCGGTTTCAATATGCCAGCTATCTTAAGATTTGGTAATTTATCGGTTTCAATATGCCTGCTGTCTTGGGTTTTGGTAATTTATCGGTTTCACTATGCCTGCTGTCTCGGGTTTTGGTAATTTATCGGTTTCAATATGCCTGCTGTCTTGGGTTTTGGTAATTTATCGGTTTCAATGTGCCTGCTGTCTTGAGTTTTTACTCTTCAGGATGGTGACCAGCAAGACTATCCATTGCAGCTGGACCAGTTAAAAATTTCTTGATCTGTTTCAACCAATTAACTTTGGTCAGCATTTGCATACTGACATCTTGGCTGTCCTGGACCACCACATTTCCATGTACCAACACTAGACTGCAGACCACAACTATTCCATGTAGACCACCAATAGTGCGAGGGCCACCACTAGCATGTAGACCACCAATAGTGTGAGGGCAAACACTAGCATGTAGGCCACCACTAGCATGTAGATCACCAATAGTGTGAGGGCCACCACTAGCATGTAGACCACCAATAGTGTGAGGGCCACCACTAGCATGTAGACCACCAATAGTGCGAGGGCCACCACTAGCATGCAGACCAACACTAGCATGTAGCAAACATTGTTATTTCCCGTTGGGGGGAGACGCAATGTTGTGGTAACATGACCTCTAGGTTAATTCCACGACAGTTTGTGGCATTTGTGGGACATAAAATGTTTATCACATCAAATATCCACCAATTGTGTAATAAAGGTGCATATTTATATTAGTAGCAACTTTCATCAAATGCAAACCCATCTTTAATAACTCATTGACATTTTTTACAATATTTGACTATCAGGGAATTCCCCTTTCTTAAGCTGCTAACTAACGCACATATTCTGGTGAAGGTCTGAGATTACTCTCTTATGACCCCGGCTAGTAAATTGGCTATCAACTCCATCTGTTGAGCTGAGCCATACAACATTTCCCTCACAAAGGATCCTCCAACCGCCCTGGCTTCCCCCGGGAGATCTAGTGCGGGACACTCCGTCAACAGATGTTCTAAGGTCTCTGGGGCCAGGCTGCAGTGCCGGCAGGTAGGATCTCTGTTGTTGTCCAACCTCCAGAAATATGTGCGCAGGGGGCAGTGCTCGGTGCGCATCTGCGTAACTAAACTCTGCACTCTACGACCTAACCCCCACCATGGGTCTTGTTTGCTAGGAGTAGGCAAGTTCGAATAGACGCCTCTGGCGGTCGTGTTGTCAGCCCATTGCCTGTACCACTTCTGCCTGAAGTGGTCCGCCAGCCAGTTTTTGACTCCCAAGAAAGTCATTGGTACTTCTGGCTGAGGCTGGGCTGCCCCGGTTTTCGCCAGAGTGTCAGCTATCTCATTGCCACTGATGTTGACATGCCCTGGTATCCATTGCATTTCAACCTTGCACCCTATTTCACCGAGTCTGCATATGTCGTTGTGAATGACGTCGACCAAGCTTGTGGTACCCTGTCGCTTCTCCAAGATCTCAAGAGCAGATCTTGAGTCTGAGAAGACAACAATATCGAGCCCCGCATGTTCCGTCCCTTCCAGAGTGATATGGACTCTCTCCAAGGCCTTGTGCATAGCTATGAGCTCCGCGTCAAAGTTTGACGCTGTAGTCCCACAAGGCCCGGAGAGTTTTTCATTGGGTGGTCCACCTACTGGGTACTGAATAAGCGCACCGTACCCAGCAGTTTTTCTCCTAAAGTCAGCAGAGCCGTCCGTGAACACTTTCACAGGTATGTGCGTGAACACATCCATGGTCTCAAGGGCAGCCACTCTCTGTACATGTTCAGGGCTTCGCTTCGTCACTGCTGCATCTGTCAGGGCCAAATGTATGGAAGGGCGTGAGGGTTCCGCATAAGGCGGGTTTCACCAGGTTGAGCTTGGCGGTCGCCTGGGAGCAGAGGTCCTGTACAAAATTGTGCATTTGTACCTTTTGGTCCAGCTTAACTCCCAAGTAGACCGGTTGTTTGTCCCACTTTAGCGCTACATCGCCCACCTTGAGCTCGATCTCCTGTTTGAGAATGGTCCGCCCATTAGTGAAGAGTGAGTAGACCGTCTTCTCGGTGTTAATTTCCTGATGCCACCGCCGCATGTACCTGTTGATAGCAGAGAGGTCCTGCTGTAATAGCGTTTGCAGGCGGTGGACATCCTTCCCGGTGCTCCAAATTACCAAATCGTCCACATACTACTAGAATCTTCTTTGTCTTGCTGTAGTCAATCTTTAAATTCAGGATCTTTAAGCCATTCCAAATTAAAACTGTGATTATTATAGGCCTACCACATTGTAAAGTTGTGAACCCTTCTACGCGATATGATTACTATTATAATTATAATTAATAAAATATAAAGATATAACCATTTTTAAAATAACCTTTTTGACTCAGACTGAGATCAATCAAGTTGGTGCTTGTTCAATTTAAATGCCTGAACCCTTTTTGGTTTAGCTTACAAAACGAACGTATAAACATATATTATTTAATTAATAATATCTTAGCCTCTAACTCTCAAGATCTATGACATGAGTATTGTTTCTTTATTTTCTTTTTTTTTAAATTTAATCTGTAAACTTTTTTTTAAATTAGTCGCGCCGGTAACTTGGCGACAAGTCACTTGGGATTGACAAGACGAATGGGAAGTTCGCGACGTTTTCATTGTGGGAACCAATTGTGGTTTGCAACCATGGGTTTACCATTGGAAAACGTTTGCTGAATGTTCCATCGTGTGAAAACACTGTCTTACAGATTTTATTTTTAATCTCTTTCTAATGATGTATTACAAAGAGAATGTCTAAGGCTAAGGCTAAAACTGGAAAGAAGGTTGGCAAATCGGGAGGTGCAGGTATTACAAACGGGAAAACAACCCCCTTGACTTTCTCAAAAGGATCAAAGTTAGATGACACGACAAAGCAATTCTACCTATGGCAGATGCAACTGCTTCAAGACAAAGTTATTAAGTACGTTTTAGCAAGATAATTTTATATTTTTCCTAGGCTTCCTATATTAACTTTTGGCGTGGGGAAAAGGGGGGGGGGGTGAAGAGTACAAAATGATTACAATCTGAGGGTGGGATAGGCCTGCCTATGCCTACCATGCTCTCGTAGGATGTCCTAAAAATCATACAAATGCCTATTTTAGCAAGATAATTTTATATTTTTCCTAGGCTTCCTATATTAACTTTTGGCGTGGGGAAAAGGGGGGGGGGGGTGAAGAGTACAAAATGATTACAATCTGAGGGGGGGATAGGCCTGCCTATGCCTACCATGCTCTCGTAGGATGTCCTAAAAATCATACAAATGCCTACATTTACATTATACAGCTAAGTTCGGGAGCTGCCTCAGAAGTGGTTATAATTATAAGATAAATGTTTATAAATTTTATAATACCATTTTTATCATTTTATAATATCTTCAGTAACATATTGATTTGTGTTTAATAATAAGTCAAAAATTAATATCTAAATTCTACATTTCTTCTCTTTGTCTAACAATTTTTAGGGTGCAATACCTAGTCAACAATTTGCTGGTGGTGCAGAGTAGGCCTATAATAGATTGGGAAACACTTTTCTATGGCTTTTTTTAATGTATCCTCTTACCCCCCCTCCTTTGTTTGTATTGCAATTGTAATAGAAATATTTTATGTAATTTTAAAAATACCAAAAGAACACTTTTGATGTAAAATAATATTAAAATACAGCTGTTCAAACCAAGAATCCAATTGAAAAGCCATGCATCTTTTACTTAAATTTTAGTTTTATGTTGTTGAAAAAAAAGATTGCCCTCCATTAGAGATATTTTTCAATCTCATATGCCTATATCCAGTAAACATTTTTTTCTCTTCTTTTTTTTTTTACTCTGTACCTGCTACACACACATGCCAGATGGTATCTATAACATTTTGAATTTTTAAGAATAAAACTGCAACTTTTAACATAGTTCTATATTTTGGCATCTCATGTGTGACCAAAGGACTTTTCCACCCCCTCCCTTCCCACACACTTCTTCTAAAGCTTTTGTAGCAATGTAAATATCTTGATCCTGAGGCCCATATTAATCTATTGATTAATAGCAATGCCCAGCAGATGGGGCTCACTTTTGATGCACTAGCCATGACCATAAGAACAGAAGCTCTAACCCAACAGAGAATTAACATGTATTTGTCAATTTAGTCTCCTGCATCTAAGTATAGTCTCCTCTGTCAAAACAGATAGATCCATTATTAATAAAGCTTGTGACAAGTAAACATGCTTACCACCTTACACCCATGCATTTCTATTAATTTTTCAAAACAATTACATTAACAGTATTTTGGGAAATAAAAATTATTTCAATAACTTAATTAAATTAAATCAAATGAAGGAAAATGTGCAGCAATTTGCATGCAAACTATAGGACCTCCCTCATTTGCATCTTGGCCAGCAGGTCCTAATATATTTACTTTAAAAAATGTGTGGATGTCACAAAAAGTAATTGGTTCAATCTGTAATTTATTTTCAGTGATAAGGCCTATCATTTTTAGTTAGCACTTCTCGTGCTGCACAGGTACAGGTGTAACTTATTTAGATCAAGTTTTGTTTAAAAAAATTTTTTTTTAAATACTACAGTGGAGCATAGATTTTCTGAATGCCATATATCTGAAACATTGGTTACCTGTTATATTATTATTTTATTGTTAGCACTGCACATGGCATGGAACACATGTGTGACAACACCGTAAAACTATTCTGATTATGTTGCACAATGTAGTTACCTACTGTAGCAATGTAGGCTACATGAAGTGACCAAACTGAGATATATGATCTGCAAACTTGTTAATTAATATATATAACAGAATGCACGCCTGCAAAAACCAAGAAACCTCTAATTTTTTTTAAGGGCTGTCATACATTTTTTAAAACTACCACTTTTCACTGAGAAAAAAAAAATCCAAGTCCTTACATTATTTTACATCAATCAGCTGACCAAGTGACATTATTGGTATTGGGAAAATTGACACTCTGTGGTACCAATTTACAAAACTTAAACCTAAATAATGTGTAGGTACTGAAAGCTTTTCAGAAAGTATACTTAACTGAGAATTATCAAAACAAATATATATTTAGGTATTATTGTACCTATGAAGTATGAAGTCTGTTAAGGTTATAAATATTTTTATTTAAATTTCTATGGAACAGATATCAAAGACAGAATGACGAGCTTGTTGTCGCCAGTGCCAAATTTCAAGAAAAAATGGAGGGCTGCATTGCTGAAAAACATGAAGTGGTCGAATACTATAAAATTCTGGTTGATACAAAATGTCAGTTGAGAATATCATCTAAAATTTTCAAATTTAATGACATTTTATTATAAAAATCCTGTTAACAACATTTTACTGCAATTCCTGAAACCAAAATTATTCCATGAAATTTTGAATAATTTTATTTTACATCCCCACATAACTTTCTTGTAGGGAATTTGTACACTATAGAAATCTTGTCCTGTTTTTCAAAATTAATTTTATAATAATCTTGCTGTGCAGAATAATATTTGCATTGATTTTCTTTACTTTAAAATTGAGTAATTTTATTTCCAGCGTTGAAATTAAACATTTTTTAACTATTTTTAAAGTAATGTGGCTACTTTAAATTATTCCCTTTTGTTTGCATCTAGCTTTTGAATACAACCAACTCCATGAGAAATACCTAACTCTGAAGCAAATACTTGACAATGAGCAGGAACAGTGCCGAAAACAGATGATGAACATTAGGCGGGAAGCTGATGAACATCAGAGTCAAATTGTGGCTGAAAATATAACATTGAGTAAGCTTTCCGATCCTCTTAGTCAGGGGTGAAGTTTAAGCGGTGCAACCCAATGGCTGCATCTCAGAGGGTGGCGGCAGAACTAATAAAAATTTAAAAATCACATGCCTCCCTTTTGATGGAGGAGTCTCCTGTCCTGGGTGTCTGTGTCTCGTCCAAATCCACATTGTTTTTATAGATTGTTGGCACATTTTATAAGCCTAATTTCATTTTTTTTTTTTTTTTTTGGGGGGGGGGGGGGGGGGTGTGTTAATCCCCTATCTTGAGATCTCACAACACTTAGAAAAATTGCCTAGTTATCTCCTGCTCTTGATCCATGAGAAATGCTACATTATTGTAAATGTAGTTTTATGTGATTTGACGGAGGATGTTAAACGAGGATTGGTTTTCAATTTATTCCCACCAATAGTCGTAACTTTTATCATGAATACATTGTGATTTGATTTCACTCTGCTACATGTGTTAGGTTCAAAGCTGGCAGCGCTTGAAGAATTTCAACTCCAGAGAGATGCTTTGATGGCTAAACTGGAACGCATGGAGGCAGAGTTAGCAAACAAAAATGAGGAATTCAATGCAAATTTAACGGCCATGGAACGTAAATTAATCAGCAACAAAGAAAGGTATTTATCATTTTGAGGTGACAATTGTTTTATCTGTTATCATGTTAAAAAACACTTGCACATGGCCTATGCCCCACAGATGGCCTATGCCCCACAGATGGCCTATGCCCCACAGGTGCCCTATTCCCCAGGCAGATGACCTCTGCCCCTGGCAGATGACCTATGCCCCTCAGATGGCCTATGTCCCTGCTGATTCCCTCTGCCCCAGGCAGGGTAAAAGGCATAAGTAAGTAAGCTAAGAAATATTTCATGTTCAGGAACAAAATATTTCAACTCAGGAATGTCTTAAAACTCAAACTGAGTAGACTGGTAAAACACAGCATAGAAATAAATGTCACTAATTAACTGAGCTACTCTGTTGCTCATGCTTTATGAAGGTCAATGTGAAACAAGAAGAAGAAAAAAACATATCAGCTTATTGAAGGTACCGGTAGCAAATTCTTGTTAAGATCATGGGCTAGGGATATACATTCTGGGGCCTTATTTGCTTTGCAATACTTTTTTGTTCTGTTTGTTGTAGCTGCCTTCACTCTCTTCAAAAAAATATATTTTATTTTCTTTTAACAAGACCACCTCCGTCCTTGTTTCCCAATCTCAACTCGCAGGCTGAAAGCTGAAATGATTGTCAGAATAAAGGGTGTGGCCACAGAGTTCCGTAAAGTGACAGACAAGACCTTGAACTCGACAATAAAGCGCACTCTGAGTGAAAATCTCATGGTTGGCACCCAGTTGGCCAAAATGTCTGACAAGACCGTGGAACTGATAGAAGAGAATGAAGCACAGTTTGCAGCCAAAGCCAAGCTGGAGCAAAAAGTTGTGCTGCTGGAAACAAATGAGAAGGAGCTGACCAAACGCTACCAGAAATGTTATGAGGCTAGTCATAAATATTATTACACGTCATGGTTACAGACAAGATGCTTGAAAGAGTTACATAAATGAAAAAGAATTGTTTTTAAATTTAATTTGAGGATCCCCTTAGATCTGAGCAACTTATGGATTTTGCCTTTTTATCATGTATTGTTTTAAAATGCATTTTTTAAACATTTTAGTTTATATTTAAAATGTCAATAAAATTATTATACTAATGGCTTTAAGTTTTTTTTTCTTCAAATATTGTTTTAGACACTGAATGGTTTTAGACAGCGATGCTTACAGCAGGAGGAAATAATTGACCAGTTGCGGAACAATAACGTGAAAGCCACAGAGACAAAAATTGAACTTGAACAACTCCGAGAGGAATCTAATTACCTTAGGTGTGCGGGGTAGCTTCTTGAATCTGTTTCCCCTAAGTATTGATAAGAGATGTACTAACATATGCCGTTATTTTCCAGAAGGCTGGACAGGTAGCATGCATGGTCCATAGCACTCATGAGCCTTGTGGTGCAGAGGAAACACTTACACACAAACAAGAGGCAATGGGTTCCTACTGATCCACTATTGCAGCTCTCCTAAGATTAATAATGTAGTTGTGACTGTTGACCTAGAAAGAGAAAAGTGATGTTGGTTAATTTACTATCAAATTTGCCAAAGCTATTGTTCAGTATTAATTTTTTTTCTGAGAGCAAATTTCTTTTTCTACTTTCCACAGACGCGAAATAAAACGATTGGCTGAAATGAATGATAATTTTAAAAAGCAACATTTCAACAAACGACTCGTCTCACTCACGGAAATGGAGTCCAGAGAGAACCTGGAGATGATGTTCTCCAATGCCGTTGACAACATTCGAGAATTAGTATTGGTGAGTTGAATTTTACAATTAGATTTTGTTGTGCATCATAACCACTTCATTACATCCCAAGTTTGGGTTCATTTTAGTTTATTTAAATTATTATTTTAGTGCTGCAGTTTTTATTACTTCCAACAAAGATTTCAATAAAAGAATCTTATCTTATTTTATCTAATGGTAGAAGTGAAACCTCAAGAACATATGGAAATAAATATTTGAAGAAAAAAATGTATTATTAATTATTATGTTGAGAAAACATAATAATAATCTTTTTTTATTCTGACCTATTATTTACAATTATCAGAAAAAGCAGTATTAATTGAACTAGTGTATACAGGCCTAAGATTCTTGAAAGAGCATTCAGTTGCATGTATGTTTTTAAAAGTGCTTTTAAAAAATCTCATTAAAGAACCCCCATCTGGATCTAAATCTGTCAGGAATTAGCTGTTAATATCATATAATACAATGTATAATACACCATCCTGTATCACCCTTAGTAGGTTGTAGACCATCAAGGATCTCCATCAGTTTTACTCTCTGTGGCCACTCTCTCAATATGCTGTGCAAAAGTCATCAAACTTGGACTCTAAAGATAGGTCCCTTCTACAACTGTTCTTTAGCCTTCATGTTGGTTGCCTCCCTTGTGATGGTGGTGAATGGAGATTCCTGGATGTGTGTGTCTCATCCAAAGCCAATTTGTTTTTATGGGTTATTGGTCATGTGCTGCAAGTTTTCATTTGCTACTCTGTCTGCACATTTGATTTTAATATCAGTATTCCTCTTAGACAATCACTTATGGAGGCTAAGACTATTTTGTTGTTGGCCTTTTTGTTCCTCTGTATTCTTCTTAAACAATCACGAGGGCTAGGACTTTTTTGTTGTTGGCCTTTCTGTTCCTTGATGATCAGATTCCACAGAATAGTGGTGCCCAGCTATAGCAGCCAAATTTTCTCAGTTTTGACTCTACAGTTGTATATTAAAACATTGATATTTATTTATTTATTTATTTAGGCATTTTTATATAGCGCTTACCATAAAGCTCTAAGCGCTTTACAATTATTAAAAACATGTAAACTAAGTAAATAAAAATGAGACACTAGGATAGTAACTACTATACTATAGAAACAATGAAAATGGCTATAAAACGAGGACACTTTGACACTTCAGGATCAACCCGAAACAGAAAATGATATATATTTTTTCATGGCAAAAACACCTGTGTATGTAATAAAGTTTTTTGAAAGCTGGCATATATGAAAAGCTCCTCCTACCAAACTATTCTCATAATGTTATTAACATTATGTAGTCCACTATTGCATAGTTTTCACATCACACTAAATATTTTTCAATTGAAATAGAAGCTCTTTTATATTCTTTTTAATTTTATAGCTTATTTAATGAACAATTTTAGGAATATTTTTGGGCCCAAAATATTAGGATATGTAGGTCCACATAGTAAGTATAGACAAATCAATCTGGCCTTTTTTTAAGGCTATTACATAATTATGTTAATTAAATATTTTGTATCTTCATTTGTAAATTAACATTTGCGCTGATGCTAGAGTGAATAAATGAACTTAATTTAGAAAATTGAACATTAGACTTTAACTGTTTTTTTTCAATTATTTGATAACAAATTTTACTTGATATATTAGTTTGTCAACAACCTTAATCCAATCTAAATGAGCCTTTGAATATGTTTTGTATTCCACAGTCAATGTCTCAACGGGCTGAACCAGGCTGCTTTTTTGACGAGAAGAGTTTGAATGACATCATCAAGTTAAAAAATGAAATATTTCAAAACTTGATGATCATTCTCAAGAGTTCATTGAAACTTGGGATTCGACCCGTCTGTCATGGACAGATGCCCCCTGACGAAAATTTTGATGAAAAGTTGTCTCAAATGTATGTCAACTGTTATTTTCTCCCAGCGAGATCATTTGGTGTGGTCTGCCAGGGAATTAAAAAGCCAATAAATATAGGAGGTTTTTTTCATGCCGAGATAAACTTATATTAAGTAAATCATAATAATAACATAAAAAAAATAATTTCAGCTGCAAATGCAACCTTGAAATTGCAATGTTGGAAAAATATTCACAATTTTTGCACTTTGCTGCTTTCAAACATTTAAAAAATTATATTAAGTAAATTAGACAAAAATATGATACTGGAAAACTTTAAGTTGGGCAGCCAATTTACATGAATCCAATAGCAAGTTTTAGCTAACAAAACCAATTATTTTACACATTTTTATATTAATTTGCATCACATTTTTTTAATTTCATGTTCTATATGTAATGGGTGGATAATTTATAAGGGGGAGGGGCATAAAATAAATTTTCCCAGGGCACCGGCCCTCATTTTTTTTATGGCCCTGAATGACGATTTAAATATCTAAAGGGGCCTTTGCAGAATTAAGGTTCCCCCCCTGCTTTAAAGGATATCACTCTCAGGCCTACCTTTAACATTTAAACTAGATATCACTCTCAGGCCTACCTTTAACATTTAAACTAGATATCACTCTCAGGCCTACCTTTAACATTTAAACTAGATATCACTCTCAGGCCTACCTTTAACATTTAAACTAGATATCACTCTCAGGCCTACCTTTACAATTTAAACTAGATATCACACTCAGGCCTACCTTTAGCATTTAAACTAGATATCACTCTCAGGCCTACCTTTACAATTTAAACTAGATATCACACTCAGGCCTACCTTTAACATTTAAACTAGATATCACTCTCAGGCCTACCTTTACAATTTAAACTAGATATCACACTCAGGCCTACCTTTAACATTTAAACTAGATATCACTCTCAGGCCTACCTTTACCATTTACTAGATATCACTCTCAGGCCTACCTTTACAATTTAAACTAGATATCACTCTCAGGCCTACCTTTAACATTTAAACGAGATATCACTCTCAGGCCTACCTTTAACATTTAAACTAGATATCACTCTCAGGCCTACCTTTAGCATTTAAACTAGATATCACTCTCAGGCCTACCTTTACCATTTAAACTATATATCACTCTCAGGCCTACCTTTACCATTTACTAGATATCACTCTGAGGCCTACTTTTAGCATTTAATCTAGATATCACTCTCAGACCTACCTTTACCATTTACTAGATATCACTCTGAGGCCTACTTTTAGCATTTAACTAGATATCACTCTTAGGCCTAACTTTAACATTTAAACTAGATATCACTCTCAGGCCTACCTTTAACATTTAAACTAGATATCACTCTCAGGCCACCTTTACCATTTACTAGATATCACTCTCAGGCCTACCTTTACCATTTAAACTAGATATCACTCTCAGGCCTACCTTTACCAATTACTAGATATCACTCTCAGGCCTACCTTTAGTATTTAAACTAGATAATAGCCATAGCCACAGAAAATGAATTAAATTAAGTAAGTTGATCTGGTGTGCATGTAAAATAAAAAAGTTTTTATCCCGTAGAACTATCCAGAGATTTTAAAAAAAGAAAATGAGTAAAACATAGTATGGGAAAACCTGAAAAAAGGAACGCAACAAAACAATGAACGTGTCGTTTTATATGTCTAAAGTGCTAGTTTTATTTAATTATGTTTTTACTTTTTTTTGCCCGCTGATGAAGGCTTCCTGCCGACACATTCATTGTTTTGTTGCGTTCCTTTTTTTTGTGTTTTCCCATGCTTTGTTTCTCTCATTTCCTCTTTTGCTAACCTGATTGTGGTCTCTGCCCACTTACTACCAGATATTTTTTAAAGAAGGAACGCTTCTGATAAGCTTTTATCCTCTTTCTACATCAGGAAATTAGATAGTAGTTTAATCAAAGGAAAAAGATTGCGACCACATTACAAGCTAGGTGACCTTGGACTGACCCCCAGACCAGATGAACACATTTCAACCAACAAAGAAAAGATGCATAGAATTTATCAGTTAGCACATGCCAACAGTAGCAAATTACTTCATAAAAATGTAAAATGCCAGACTGCCAGCACCCCTTTGGTTAGTTGTCTGTTCTTTATTTTCATTTGCAACAAATTATGAGTCAGATTAATCTTTATTTTATATTTGAATCATTATTAATAAAGGAGTAAAGATGTTTCTAAATATAGTAATCGTTTATATTATTTGATAGTACCATGGAATTTTGATTCAAAACCTGGCTTTGTGCGGGATCAACAAAGATTGAAACAGCTGTAGATATAACGAGCCTTTTTATGGTGATGGCAGACAGGGAATTTATTGCTTAAAATTTTAAGCTCTTTGGTTTCCGGGGACAGGTGATTAGCATAAAAAAACTTGATAGAGTTTATCAAGTACTAAGTCAAATTTGTTCCTTGTGATTGGAAAACGGGCAAAATATGCAGTGTCCACTTCTCACAGTCACACACATAAAGATGGATCAATATTAACCAGAACACAGGATGGCATAAATATACTTGTTTGTAAATGTGTCAGATTGAAATGACACCCTACCACTACAAGTTAGGGACAATAAATAAGATAAGTGTATAATAATAACACTATTTTTGTCCATTTCCCTCTCATTTCAGGCCTTACTGCATGCTCATCAAACGGCTGGAAAGCCAAAGAAAGAACCCCCAGTGTTAGGTAGAGTACCCACTGGCCAAGGTCCTCTACCGATCCCTAAGATATCCATTTCTAAGTAATAGATTGAACAAATAGAGTATAAAATAAAAGAACATACATCCAAATTTGACCATAGTTTTTTAATTGTTTAATAGAACATATAAACTTATAATATTTTGTATGAAATGGGCAAGGAATGCGTTAAGACAGCTCTTGGACATCAGTCAAGAATAAAAATTCCACTTTAAAACCCTATTTCTCAGTTTCACTATTACACATCTCAAGTTTTTTGTTATTAAATTTATTTCTATTAACTTTAATCATCATCTTTATATAGGACTGTATAAGCGAGCTTGAAATTAAAGAGTCAATGATCAGATCAATGATCTTGTAAATCAGCACTTTTAATGTGGGACATCGCGGGGGGGGGGGGGGGGGGGGGGGGGAGGGTTCAGTAAATTCTATATTTCTTGGGGACCATGAAAAAAAATTAAATTAGGGAGGGACCACATACATAGAATAATAAGATTATTATCTTTAATGAGAACAGGATGGATTTAAAATGGAAGTATTTATATATTGAAATATATATATATATGAAATTATTCCTTTTTTAATACCTCTTTACATTTGTTTAAAACTCTGATTATGTTTAAAAAAGAAGAAGCTTTTTTTATATTAAATTGTCTTATAAATATATAATTATATGACAAAATATGCGTACACACTGATGGCTTCTGAATGTGTCCAAGACATCAAACAAGAAAACAGTTGACAATGTTTTAACATTTTGATTTATTTATAATTATATTTTATGTAGTTCCACTATGATAAACTCTTACAAGGTTAATCAACCACGTAGCTGCGACCTCATAGTCATATTTTCTTACAAAAAACAGCTCAAAGTTAATATAACTTACATTAGTTAATATATACGTCAAAATAACTGATTGCTAATGCAGGCTTAAGGGGCCATCTGTATAGTACAGTGCGTAAGCAAAAGATAGTCAAATCCCCTCCCCCCCCCCCCCCCCCCCCCCCCCCCCCCCCATTGAACATGTACTTTTTTTTTTGACGACCCCCGCCCTTCCACCCTGAAACCAATTAACAAAATCAAATATTCTATATAATAATTATGACGTCAAAGTAAACAAAATGTGTCACTGTTTTCATTGCTGGCTGTTCGGCAAGCCCAGTGGTTATATACGTCATGCCGTCCTGGGTGCCCCTTGCCCACTTTTAATTGAAAATCCAATGTGACATCTAGTAGTCTTGGTGCTAACAGTCGAAATATTTAAGGAACCACTGACGTGGCTAAACATGCTAGTTGTTGAACATAGAGTGGACTAAATATTATTGTAATAAGTCTACTTCTGAGGACTCTGAGCGATATCTTGTGAGTTCATTTGTGAAAATACAGGGCAACGTTATGACGATAATTCCTACAAAACAAATGATATTTTTACATATTAATATATTATTTTTGGTATGTCAGAGTTTCAGGATGATTATTGTCATATATTTTAATAAATGTACATACTTTCTGCCGAGACACAAACCCCCGGCATACGCAGACGTACGCAAAATCTCCAAAACGACAACCCCCCCCCCCCCTCTCTATCTTTCTCTCTCTCTTCAGTGCGCATGAACTATATTGATGGCCCTTAATGATACATCATATTTAAATCATTCAACACAATTTTAAAAATTCCAGCCAGGTCTTGGACATACACTTATTAATTGCACAGCCAGTAAGATATAGCTAAAAGAGGGAGATGATGTAAGACCTGACGAATGGATCTAATGTGTGCTGAGAAGAATTGGACTGAGCACAAGACAGAGACATTGGGAAAAGATCATGAATAACTCCTGCCCCACAGAGATGATAACTCTTGCTCCACAGGGATGATATAAGAATATCTGGAGCTTTCACATGAATTTCTTCCAGTACTCCTCTTCAACAATCTGTTGGTTAAGTTCAGTTTCTTGTGAAAGGCTAATCAAAGCTTAAACAAAATACATGTTGGTCAAGCTCTGTTTCTTGTGATAGGCTACTCCAAGCTTTAAGAAAACATTTTTTTTTAAGCCTATCCATATAATAGGAAGACAGACAAATCTTAAAGTTCAGTGAACTCGGGTGAGACACGATTTTAGTACCCCCGGTATGCAACTGTTTTATTTAATATCAACTCAAGATAACATACCAGTGATACCAAGATATAAATGTATATTTTTAGCACCATATGCTGGGCTATTCTCTTACTCTTAGAATACATGATTTCTAAGAACTTCTGATAATATTAATGATTAACAAGATAATTACCAAATGCCTGTTCCAATTCTTCATTTAGCAGCAGTTTCCCTTTGAGATATTTATAATTATATACACCATCCCTTTAAATTAAACATTTTATTTGACATAGTTTGGTTTCTACAATAACTTATCCCAAGCTCTGGTGCAGTCAGTGATGTACCCTGACTAAATGCCACCCGGGGTGACCTCTAAACACACACACACATACATAATTTATATCATGTCACATTTTGAAAAACGAGTGCACATTACAATAACATATCCCATAACTTAACATTTTGATTATGTGCTAGTCTTGGTTGTTGGTATAAATACAACAAAATTAATCACTGTGAAATACTGTCACCTGTCAGGAACTGGATCTTTGCCTAGCCTTGAAATGTCTTCAGTTTTGCTTATTTCTGAAATAACATCATTAGTCCCAGTAGTGGCAATTTTATCCCCTTCAAATTTTCCTGTAGAATTATATGAGTCTGTGTGATGGAAATCATCATCTCCTTCTGCTATTTTTAAATTTTGAGCCTTTGATTGCTCTTGAATAGGTTGTGTGACTTCTGAAGCATTGTTTTTGAGTAAAGCTCTTTTGCCCTTGGTTTTCATACCTGCCTCAGGTGTGTGTTTTTGCAACTCAACACAGCTGTTGTCATTGATCTTTAAATTACTAATGTTTAAAGCAGTCCTTTGTTCAATGTGATGAAGCAGATGTTCAATGGCTTCAGGTATAACTGAATCTACAGCAGCCATCTCTGCCGCTGGAAATTTTCCCAAAACATATGGCACCACCAGTAATCTAGAACTTGGTCTGCCTATTCCAATTCGGAGACGTATCATTTCCTGAATACCAAAATAAAAGAACAGATTTTGATTTAATATATTAGTAGGATTTATTTTATCAAATAATACTTTATGATTAAGTTTTCAACTTTATCATAAATGTCCATTATGTACGGTTATTCAATTACAGATTTTTAAAAAATAAAGACTTGAGAATATCGTCACATAATGTAAATGTCATAGTTTGTCTATGAAACTAATAATAGTCTGAAATATAAATGCATTACAATACTAAAACTTCGTCTTCAGGCATTTGAAGAGATGTATTTAATTTTTAACTTTCATTTTTCATTGGTGGAAAAGCAACAAGAATATAGGCAAATGACTATTTTTAAACTTTCTGAAAACTTACTTTTGATTTTAGCTCGTTCATGCAAGACAGCACACCATTGTGACCTCTGAAATTAGAGTATTATAGAGAATATTAATTAGCTCCTTTATTTTACTTTGATACAAACCTGACCAGAGAAACTACACACCTAACAATGACAGGTTGAATAACTCTGCCATTACAGGTTATAACAAACATACTTTAACAATACAGATGCATAATGACCAAATAGTACCTGTTATAAAGAATAATAACCGTTAGTTGGATACTGTTGTACCAATTGCTTTGTCTTTTAAAGACATAAGCGCTTTGCAGCAGGTCAAACTATATTGATACAGTTGTTAGTATTATCCAAGACAAACATGCCATCTTCTAAGTGAGAATTTATCACATGGCAGGTTATTAACTAAAATATCATCATGTATAATCACTGTTCGGATAGTGTTGCAGCCCACTGCAGTATGTTTAACCAAAATGAAATAATAGTTTTATGCTCGTATACACACTGGTTCCTAATTCAATTTAAGTATTCAGAATATTACTGTATGTTTTAACCATCACAATATCATTAAGAGTCAAACGGATGGAACTAATGCAAGTGATTGAAACACTGACTAATTTAAGACATGAACAGAACTCTTACATTACCAACACCAAACAAATTCATACTACAAACACATGGGTACAAAAGGCGCATGGCCTAGTTTACTTAAGTCCGTCCAGGTGGCTGGCCAGGGAATAACACAGGGCATGTGATATGTGCTCAGGTTGGTCCTCTAAACATCAAATGATTTACCCCATGGTGCACCCTATATAAATAGGGACGCCATGACATACCAGAAAGCAATTAAATCATGGCAGACCAACCCATGTCTTTCGACTGTCTTCTCTGCTGGAAACCTTGTAATACTTGCAATCTTTAAAGACTCCAAACTGGATAAAAGTCAAAACCCCTGACCAAAACCCTAAAGAATTGTATGTGTTTGTTCATGTTAGTCTCTCGGCTATCTAAGATACACTTTTACTTTTATATTTGTATAGTTTAAATGGGCTTTTTAAGATTTAGTAAATAGAAAGGGTTGGGGGACAAACAAACACAACACACCCCCCCCCCCCAACAATGATGAATGTGAAAACACTCAATTTGCTTAATATTTCAGAATCCTCTGACAGGTGGAGACATGCACATAAACTATGATAAAGAGAATAAAGCCCCTTTCCAGAATTTATTAACACCCCCCCCCCCCCCCAACAATGATGAATGTGAAAACACTCAATTTGCTTAATATTTCAGAATCCTCTGACAGGTGGAGACATGCACATATACTATGATAAAGAGAATAAAGCCCCTTTCCAGAATTTAATTAACTTGTGGACACACTGCCACATAAGTTCAAATAACCCAGCAGCAAGTGGAGTTTTACATGATAACATACAGCTAGCATTTATAACTGACACACTGTTTACCCTGCACTTCCACCTTCTTTTAAATGAAATTTTCCAGGCAGACGATCCAGCTCATCATGAATGAGGTACATATGGCTGGGTGCAATACGCAGCAATTTAGCTGGAATAAAATTATGTACAATTTTGTTTTATTAAACAGAAAGGAATTTTTTTTTAAAATGAAATGATTTAAGTGAGCAGCATATTACCCTTCTGAGACAACAGCAAGAAAAAAAACCTTGAGTAATAGCTAGATAGCTAGGCATTTAAATGTGGGTTCTACACTTTATTATCATAAGTTATTGATCAGATCATGTATAAAAGCTACTAATTTACACTATTACTATTCTCTTTAATTAAACTTAAATATTATATGAATGACAATTAATGCCTTTGCGTAAATCATTGCAAAGCATTGACAGCATGCTACCTGTCTTTGCAACACTCGGTCCATTGAGATTCATCAGTGCCTTTGGCTTAAACAATGTAAGCTTTGACTGCCCTACAAATGTGGATGTGATGTATCCAGCATTCTGTTCCCATTTTACACTCAGTCTGTGAGCTAGGCTATCTATGACTTTCATTCCAATACTGTGTCTAGTGTTGGGGAAACCATGGTTACCAAGACCAACAATCTGAAAAAAAAATATATGATTTATAATATTAATTATATAATCATTTTTTTTGTTTAGGCTTATATATGGCATAATTAATGCTTATTTTTAGTTAAATAAACAAATGTAAGTTGATCAGGTAAAACTGGGAGTGGAAGCCTTTTTTTTTTCTTAAAAAGAAAGAAAAATGATTTAATGAATGAATTTAAACTTCAAACTAAAATTTAAATGGCCAAGCTCTAAAAAACATGAAGTTTAAAATGTCTTGTCTTAGTTTTGAGACTTAAGAGTATGATCTGCACTGACAATCCTCTTCCAATCGTCACTATGCACAGGAAATGTTCCAGCAGACTGGAGAACAGCGCATGTCACTCCAATTTACAAGAAAGGGGAGCATTCCGACCCTGCCAACTATCGTCCGATATCCCTCACTAGCGTCGTCTGCAAATTGTTGGAGCACATAATCGTAAGCTCTGTCATGAAGCATCTTGAAAGCAAAAATATACTCAATGACTGTCAACATGGCTTCCGAGTCAATAGGTCATGTGAGACCCAGCTTCTCGAATTTGTAGAAGACTTGATGACCAATCTGGAGAACCACAAGCAGACTGACGTGCTAGTAATGGACTTCGCAAAAGCATTTGACCGGGTGAATCATAGTTTGCTTCTACACAAACTCCAGATATATGGGATTCAAGGCACCACTAAAACATGGATCTCTAGCTTCCTCAGCCACCGACGCCAAGCAGTAGTGGTGGGCGGTACAAGCTCCTCCTTTGTCAATGTGAAGTCAGGGGTCCCCCAGGGATCAGTCCTGGGCCCCTGTTTGTTCCTAGCATACATTAATGACCTACCGGAGAAACTGACATCACAGGCAAGACTGTTTGCAGATGACACAGCAGTGTATAGGACGATCGCCAACAGATCTGACCAGGACCAGCTACAACAGGATCTCAATCTGTTAGCTGAGTGGGAGATGAGCTGGGACATGGAATTTCACCCTGCCAAGTGCCAGACACTATCAATCTCTAGAAGTTGTACTCCTCTACACTACCAATACGAACTGCACGGCCATATACTTGAGCAAGTTTCCTCCGTAAAGTACCTGGGTGTTACCATTCAAAGAGAGGTCCGCTGGGACGAGCATATTAACAATGTATGTAACCAAGCAAACCAAGCCTTGGGGTTCTTAAGGCGAAATCTAAAGATTGGCAACTCCTGTGTGAAAGAAAGAGCATATAAAGCCTTTATCCGTCCGATTTTAGATTATGCATCTTCAGTCTGGGACCCATTTACCCAGAAGAGCATTGACAGGTTGGAGGCGGTCCAGCGACGAGCAGCACGCTTTGTCCTAAACCGCTACAGGAATACCTCTAGTGTTGGCAGCATGCTAGAAACACTAGGCTGGTCACCATTGGAGAAACGACGACGACAATCCAGGCTCTCCATGATGTACAAGATAAATAATGGGCTGGTCCACTGTTCCAGTATTAAACAGAAACTCGTCCCTCTCCCCCATAGACAGCGACGAGGCCATGACAGGCAATTCAGGCTCATACCAGCAAGAAGCCAGTATAGGAGCTGCTCATTCCTGCCCAAGACAATCAGGGACTGGAACCATCTTTCAAAAGGAACAGTTGAGGCGACAACACTAGACACATTTGTGTCTATTGCCTCAAGCCTTCAAACCCCTAGTGCATAATTTCCTCATCACCACCAGTAACAGAAACATTGCAAATCCCATCTACATGCATAGGAGCCAAAATGATCAATAAATTGATCGTGGGCCCTTAAGATATAGAAGAAGAAGAAGAAGAAACCAAGTCCAATGACTATGCTACTACTACTACTAGGGTTAGTATTAGGTCTATATTAGAAAAATTGTTAGAAGATTTATTATATTTATATTATTAACTTTAATTATATTATAAATACTAATCTAAATAAGCCTACCATGAAATGATTATCAATCCTCCTCGCCTCTGCGTGTCTAAGTCTATGTGTTCCCTCCATCACGTTGGCGCTGTCAGTTTCTGTTTTATTTGTTGACGTTTTATTTACAAACAAATGTTTTGTAACGGCAAGAAATTTCTTTATTTTAGATGATTTATCCAGGGTCCCCGATTCCGTTGCCGTTAGCGATGTTGTTGGTGATGCCCAGACCCGTGAATACCGAATAATTGTTCTTATAATAAAGTTTTTCATATTCATATTTAAATAAACATTATATATATTGTGCATATTAATTTTAAGAGGGCAGCAACTAGCAATGACTTCACTGGATGCAAAAAATAAAGTCTCTAAGGTCGAGAGCGTTAGCCTACTTATTTGTAACAGCATGGTCCAGTCCAGGATTGGAGTTTCAATTGTTTATGTTTCACTGTGATGATGTAATTCTTTACGGTGTAGATCAAAAAGAACAACCATCGACTTTTACATATTGGCCTAAATGAACATAGAAAACAAACAGATGATTAACAGTTTAACCCCAGGAGGTACAAGTACAAGCGAAATCCGAATGACGGTGTCTTCGATGCTAAATTAGGAGCCGATGTCTAACGCGTTGATTATTTCTCCAATTTTTTAAAAACAAATTATGCATTAGAAGCCAGAGGCGTGGCTAGAGTGTTTGCCCCCCCCCCTCTCTCCCCCGTACACGATTCATTTTAAAGAGCCCATTTTTCTTTTTTTTTTTAAATCTCAAACCAATAATTTTTATCAATAAAATAATATCAAAGCATATGTTGGCGCCCCTGGCTAGCTGGCCCCTTCGCTACACCTGTGCAAGAAGCTCCTAGAAACAACTTAAGTGGAGACCAACATCACTGTCAAGGACCAGAGACTGGATGTGGTTAACAGAGCGTCACCATTGGCGGTGAAGTAAACTTTTGCAATGCCAGTGCCAGCATAAATTTGATACGCTGCCTGTGCCAAACAATTAGGAAAGGCATCATTGGCCCGATAAAACTAGAAGCAAGAAGATAGTTCTTCTCCTTGCGCTTCTCTGCACTTGCGAAACGTGGACACTATAAACAGGCCATGTACCGGGTAAGGAAGATTAGCTACTTTCACACAATGAGTTACAGAACAAATATCCCACATCTCATGGCAGGACAAGTTTCAGACACTCCAGTACTCACCCAGGCAGGTCTCCTTCTTATGCTGATGAAGGCATTGATTTTCCGAAACGTCTACATTTGTATTTTTTAAAAATTATAATTAAAGCAGAACAGATATGGTTTATTTACAGATATTGTTTTTGTCTAATTAATCTACTTCAAAGCTTAATCGCAGTCCAACACTCTTGTAATAGGTCTCCTTCAGCACTACGACACATTTGAACCACACCCCCCCCCCTTTACGCCACTGATTTGACGGCTAACCCATGACCCACTAGAGTCGGTCGTGGCTGACCCCCACACAGTGTTTCACTTTTCCTTCGTTCTCTTGTTCTGCCCGCTTTAATCGTGAAGGGGTCGTGGGGGAGGTACAGCTGGCGATCTGCCGCAAAGTATGAGGCATGCTGAATGTGAACTTTGTGGTGTCCTTAACACAATCGATCAGTTAAATCAGTAGAGTGTAGGAACGGGGGGTGGCTCACGATATGCACTCACTTTTTTCTTTATATGGATGGGTGGCATTTTCGACCAACTGCAGAGTTGTTTCGTGGAAGGGGTGACAAAATTATTAGCCAGCACCGGGCAGTTATCCACCACGGATTTTGTCTTCCTATGGCATTTTTTAATGGCCCTTAAACTGGATTGCCAGCTATTGTGGTATTGTAGGCTTGCAAAGCGGGCTGATTGGGAGGAATTTTGACCAGATTACCAAACGAATTATATTGGTGTTGGGCATATACTGGCTGATTTTTATGGAACCAACATGTGTATTAATTTTTAAAAAATACTGGTTCCGAATGTGGTCCTAATCATTTTACCAGCTACTCGCCTTAAATATCTCATCTCGCTGGTGAAGAGATGTTTTTTTCTGGAGAGTTTTATTCAGACTCTCAAATAGAGCCCCGAACCTTTCCTTATAAGTTAGCCTTTTCTATTGTAAGTGATACTATTACTATAAACTACGACAACTATATATTATTTTTCTTTAACATTCAATTTTGAAATGTCATTTATTTATTTTTTTTTGTAAAGTTGCTTGGCTCTATGATAAATATAGGAGTTATATTACCGTTAATAAATAATATTAGTGCAGGTTCATAGAAAAAAAAAAAATAATACACCGACACCGTACTAACTAAAATAGGAAAGGATTTTCCCCGTTTGGAAGCCGAAATCTATTTATAGATTGTAGTCATGTCATTCGTCATTTTGTGACGAAGTCGAAAAACATAAACGAAGTGGCTATAGGTACCCGAGTACCCATCGGCGCCAATGACTATTCGCACCCGAAAGTCTTAGTAATCGAAAAAAAAATGATCCGAACCAGAGGCTTAATAATCGACAAGTCTGCCGCGCTTTCTTTTATAAAAATGGAGGTTGGCAGCATTTTTGATTTGAAGAAGAATTGAATTATTTTTGTAAAGAACTCAATGTGTGTTTCACTAAAAGATCGTCAGAGAAGATGAAAGATCCCAATTTGGAACACCTTAAATATGAATATATAATTCATTGTTGCAAACAAGGAGTTAAACGCAAGTCAAAGTCTTCAAGGACAACAGGCCAAAGAAAATCACAAGCGTAAGTAATAATAATTATAAATAATAGGTTAAATTTAGTTGGTCTTGTCATGTAATAATTCTTTCTCCAAGCCAATGATTATTACCACGGTAAATGTAGAGGACGAATGCCACTATTTTATCGATGGCCGCGACTAAATGTATCCCTAAATCGATGCCTATGCCTTTTTTTTAACCTGAACCCTAAATCGACCCCTCAACCTAACCTAACCCCTAATTCACTGCAACTATAATAAAGAAGCAAATGACGCCATGGCATTCATGCTCCACATTAACCCTTACCACTTTTGGCAATTCATTGAGAATTTTTATATTTTTCAGTTCTTTCAAATTGGGATGCCAGGCAAAGATAAAGCTTGTTGCCAAGAGAAATCCATCTCGGCTAGAAATTACCAAATCAATGCATGAACAAGTAAGTGCATGTGCTGCGAAAAATATTTACATAATAATAATAAATAGCATATTCTTGTGGCAGGTACTACAGGTACTATAGTGTTAGAGATGGATGCATTTTAAAAGAATGTTTTGTACCATTCATTAACCCATTCAATCTAGGGTGCTCAGAAATTTTATCACTGAAAACTTTAGGTTAAGGTTAGGGTTACCACCCTTACCATAGAAAGGTTTTGAAAAAAATTAAGACAAATCTATTTAACAGTATAATGAAATTTAATAAATTCTAAATAGTCCAAACAGAGTTTTATATCTTAATTTTGATTATTGTGACTTATAATAAATTTAAAACATTTATCCCCAAGTTGAAGGTTAGTTAGGCTGGGGTACCGCGCTATATAAGACCAATGTTCCCTCTAAGGTTTGTTGGTTTGTGTGCAAAATCATACAGTTATGTGCAAAGTTTTACAGCATCAATTTTTTTGTGTGCAAAATTTTACAGTCCAGAAACACAAACTTACAGGGAAATTTGCTGCGCGGATACTCAAAACTGCTGCGCAGCGCCTGTGAGACGGCTGCGCGGCAGCACAGCTTAAAGGGAACATTTTATAAGACCACTAATAATAATAATAATGTTTGCAGAGCATATTTTTTTACATAATACTTATTATTGCAAAGTAACCTTTGTGTATTTTTTTTCCAGATGTGCCGCTTGTATCCGGAAAACAGCAAGGTGGAACTAAATGCGACAACGCTTCTGTTGATGTCCTGCACCACGATTCAGGCACCTGAGGCCCGGCAAGTGCTTGAACAACAGCATGATGTGGATTTGCTTCCCAGGGATATTTACAATATTAAATCAAGAATAAATAAATCATCTTCTGATGCAACTGAAACTCAATCTATACTTCATTCTATATCACAAGCTGGTGGAAGTGTGTCCTATATGGACTAACAGAAAGTGGGGAATTTAAGTATTTATCATACATGACTGATGATATGATTAGAATTATTGCCCAATATCCAGAGGTTTTATTAATGGATTTCACATATAAAACCAATAAATATTTATATCCACTTTTGACTGCACTGGTTATTGATGGAGAGGGCAGGGGCATTCCTGTTCTTCATGGTTTTGTAAAAAATGAAGATAAGGAATCTATTTCTCTTTGTTTGCAGTTCTTCTGAAGAATTCTGATGCCAGTCTTTTCAAGTACTTTGTGGTTGACAAAGACATGGATGAAATCTCTGCTATAAATGATCTGTTTCCAAATGTACCTGTTAATCTATGTCATTTTCACATTAACCAGGCTGTGCACAGGTTTCTTTCGAAACATGTAGGTCCTGAGCATGTTAAGCCAATTCTTGAAGGATTTATGTCTCAAGTTTATACTGAGTCGTGTGATGAATTTTTAAAGTTGATGCAAGACATGAAAGATACTCTTCCTGATGTAGCTTTGGAGTATTTTGAGTCGAACTGGTGGAGTAAGGCCCATTTATGGGCAGCATCATCCAATGCTGATGTTTTAAGACTCCATGCGACAACAATAAATCACTTGGAGGACCTAAGGTAAAACAAAATTTTACCCTGAAAAGAAAAAGATAGCTGCCCCAACAATTTTCAACTACCAGTAGTTGTATAAAATAAATATGTGAATGTTTTTAATGTTCTGAAAATTATACATTTTTGGTGTGTAAATAAATGTCTGCCGCTATTTGAACCCGGGTCCCATTAGACCAATGCTATTCAGATGTCATTTGTGGTAGATTATTTTAGTTAACATTCCTTTACTTAAACTGAAGAATTAAGTTTACAAACATATAGTCCATTCAATTATCTTTCATTTGATACCAAATTTTGTCTTACAACCTAAAATTTTTAATCCCAACCTCTAACTTCTCGGACCGGGTCCGAATAGCAACTAGCAACTTTGTAAATAAATACCCATTTTTATTATATTTCTTGGGCCAATTTTTGTTTCTTAACTTAAATCTATTGATTTATTATTTTTTAATAATTAACATATTCTACGATAATGTTTAAAAATTTTAAATATGTCTAGAAAATTCTTATCTTTTGTGAATGTGTGAATATGCCTTGCTGAAACTAGTTTTGTAAAATATTTTTTAAAGA